ACTAAAGTCTGGAGTAATTAATGGCAAAGGTCGCTGGTAATACTGTGTTATGCCATTCGGACTTAGCAATGCTCCAGCAAGATTTGAGAGGCTGATGGAAAGAGTACTGAAAGGCATACAATGGAGAATAGCCCTAGTGTACCTAGATGATGTCATCGTGTTTGCAACAACGTTTGATGAGGAACTGTCACGGCTAGAAGAAGTATTCAAGCGTTTGAAAGCAGCAAACCTCAAATTCCATCCCAAGAAATGCCACTTGTTCCAGAAAGAGGTGCTTTACTTGGGTTACATTCTAAGTGAGCATGGTGAGCAAACTGATCCTGACAAGGTGAAAGCAGTGCGTGATTGGCCAACACCAAACAATGTGGGAAAGTTAAGAAGTTTCTTGGGACTCTGTACCTATTACCGGAAGTTTGTGAAGGACTTTGCAAGGCCAGCAGTTCGAATGGACTGTTTCTTGCCAGCATGCTTTCAAGACATTGAAAGAAAAATTGGCCTCAGCTCCACTTTTAAAGCTTCGAAATCCCTCACTGCCGTATATACTGGATTGTGATGCTAGTAATGTCGGAATTGGAGGAGTGTTGTCTCAGAAAGTTGGTGAAAACGAAAATGTGGTGGCCTACTTCAGTAGGGTCCTGAGTCGACCAGAGAGGTACTACTGTGTAACATGGAGGGAACTCTTTGCAAAAGTAAAGAGTCTGACATACATCCATCCTTACCTCTATGGGGCTAGGTTTACCACCAGGACAGACAATGCTGTATTACGCTGGTTAAGATCATTAAAGAACCCAGAGGGACAACTGACATGTTGGATCGGAAAGATAGACCAGTATAATTATGATATTGAATACAGAGAAGGAAAATCTCATGGAAATGCTGATGGACTGAGCCGAAGACCCTGCAAAAATGACTGCAGACATTGCTGCAAAAGGGAGGTTGAGCTAACCAAGTGTCATCAAGCCGAAATCAAAGTGACTGATGGAGTTGATGATGGCGAAGTGGAACCACGTATAGATATTAAAGCAGAGTAGGAGAAAGACCAAGATTTGAAGCCAATAATTTATTTTCTAAAAGCAAGTGTTTTGTACCCTGCTTGGGAGAAGGTGTCTAGCTTAAGCCCTGTGACAAAGAACTATTGGGCATAATGGGACCAGTTGAAGCTTGAAGGTGGTATTCTTGTCCGGAGATGGGAAACTGCAGATGGGAAAGTGACGACCTGGCAAACAGTTATACCGAGACAGTTACGGGAAGTTGTGTTGTGGCAATCCCATGATACTGTAACAGGAGGACATCTCAGAGTTAAGAAGACATTGAG